ATAGAGATCTTGCAATATGGCGGCAGTTTTCAAATGCTCTTCTATATAGAAATTCCCCAAGACTGGATGTTTTAAATACTTTATTATTTACCTGTTCACTGTAAACTCTTAAGAAAAGCACGTATTCCAATTACACCTTGTTTGTAATGTATGACAGGTTACAAGGCCTTTGTATTAATACTAGAGCTCACTAGAATGGCTGGTTAGGTTACCAATACCTAACCTTAACTAAACATCTTGTATCAGAAATGTAGAAACAAAGTTATATTTGTTATAATGCAGAAGTTTGTCAAAAATTAATTTTTCTATAAAAGCCTGATAATATCTAATAGTAAGGGTATCCAGCTGATGAAGCAATGCATTCTAATCTTTATAAAGTCCATTTAATTAGTGGTGGATATACACGATTGTTTTTCATTTTTAAATATAATACCAGAGTTATGATTTAGATAGTTATAAAGCACGTGTTAAATCTAGTATTTTTTAAAAGCAATAAATGAATATTATTACATCATAACATAAGCTGAAATAGGCCTATATATACGCACAATTGAAGTGGTGCCGTAAATAGTGTAGAGATTAAAATCAAGTTATATAACCATATAGACTGATTTTGATAAATGGATAGAGAGGTGAGAGACTTGGGCTAAAAGATTGCAATCTACTAGAGTTTGTTAAACAACAAGAATTGGAAAGAGAAAAGCATAGACAGAGAAGAGAGGAAAAAAGACTGAAAGAAGAAAAAGAGAGACTAAAAATATACAGACAGAATAAGAGCACAAATTGAGATCGCAAAGCTCACCAAACAGAAAAATGATGGACCCAAGAGTGACAATGGGGTCAGGGCTAGCCAACCCAAACTGCCCATGTTTGATGAACAGAAATATAACAAATGTTTTCTTGGAGAGATATGAAAGATTCATCCAAAGTTAGAACTGGGACAAAGGTAACTGGGTAGTCTATCTCAGCCCACTTCTCACAGGAAAAGGCCTATAAGTATATGCAAGCATGATGTCAGAAGATACCACAGACTATGACAAATTAAGAGTGGCCTTGCTTAAATGATATGAACTTACAGAAGGTTTTCGTTGGAATTTCAGAGAAGTCAAACCTGACACTGGAGAAACTGTATATCAGTTTGTGGCACGTCCTTGGTGATATCCTGAATGTAGATTTACGAAAACTGAAGGAAGTACAGAAGAAAGACCACTGCGTAGTTTTGGGACAGTGCCCGGAAGAAAGAACACAAGACAAAGGGGGAAAGGGACTTACAGAATAGAGAATTAGAAAGGAGTGGTCTACCAAACATATTAAGGCAGTCAGTTATACCAGGGAAGTCGAACAGATCATAGTAGCAACAAAATACCAGACTCAAGAGATGAAGCTGGCTCACAAGTTGATTGTGGGAGGACACCTAGACACAAAGATGAGGACAGACAGAATCACCAGTAACTTCCATTGGAGGAGTCATCGAAAATGTGACTAGATTCTGCAGGTCATGTGACATCTGCCAAAGGACAATACCTAGAGGGAAGGTAGCCAAGGTGCCACTGGGTGAGAAGCCTCTCATAGAAAAGTCACTCAGCAGAGTAGCTGTGGACTTGATTGGACCACTAGCACCTGTATCTGACAGGAGCAACTGGTATGTGCTGACAGTAGTTGACAATGCAACACATTATCCAAAAGCCATAGAATTGTTGAAGATAGAGTAGCAGAAGTCCTCCTGGAAGTGCTCTGCAGAGTACACTTTCCAAAAAAAAAAAGTCCTGAGTGACAGTAGGACCCAGTTTACTTCAGAATTGATGCAAGAGGTGTACAGATTCATCAGCAATAGGCAACTCTTTACCACCCCATACAAACATAGATGTAATGGACTTTGTGAGAGTCAACTGTGTCTTAAAGAGTATACTAAAGAAGATGTGGCAAGAGAGACCACGTGACTGGGACAGGTACCTGCAAGCAGTATTATTTGCTTATCTTGAGAAGTTCCACAAACAATTGCAGGATTTTAACACATCAAGTTACTGTATGGAAGAACAGCCAGAAGTGAGGAATACATACCAGTACGTGTTAGACCTCAGAAACCAACTGGAGGAGACCTGTCAACTCGTTTGAGAGCTTATGTACAGCTCAAGGCAGTCAGAAGCACTTCTGTGACAAGAAGGCCAAGGATCAACATTTCAAGGTCAGACAAAAGGTATTGGTTCTGCTACATGCAGACAACAATAAACTCATCCTGTAGTGGAAAAGACCTTTAGAAATGCAGGAAGTGATCAACAGAATGAACTATAAGGTGAAAGTGGACAGGAAGAACAAGATCTACTATGCCAGTCTGTTGAAGAAGTACTTTGAGAAGGAAAAAACATAATGGGTGCAGCTATTGAGGCTCAGATGGAAGTTGCCGGTGTGGTTATCATGGATGCAAAACCAGAAGATGGTGACTTTGTCATAGAAAATGAAGACCTATTACACCTAAAACCACTGTGTGGAGATGAGACATACAAGGACATCAACATAAGTAAAGAACTGACTGGCAAGCAGAAGAAAGACCTACTGGAGCTGCTGTGTCAGTACACAGATGTTTTCACAGGCAGATCTTGTGTTTGTTTGTTTTTAATTTTGCGCAAAGCTACACGAGGCTACCTCCACTAGCCATCCATAACTTAGCAGTGAAAGACTAGAGGGAAGGCAGCTAGTCATCACCATCCACCGCCAACTCTTGGGCTACTCTTTTACCAACAAATAGTTGGATTGACTGTAACATTATAATGCCCACACGACTGAAAGGGCAAGCATGTTTGTTGGGACGGGGATTCGAACCTGTTACCCTCAGATTGGGAGTCAAGCACCTTAACCACCTGGCCATGCTAGGCCAGATGTTGTGAAACACTGGATCATGACAATGACCAGGGATCCAGCCAAGGTGAAGCCTACCAGATTTCCTATGCAATGAGATACCAGTAAAAGGACTGCCAATGTTGGTGCAGATTATACGAAGAAGGGCTTATAGTTATACATATGACTGTTTCATTTCATTTTTATATTTAATACAAGAGTTATGATTTAAATATTTATAAAGTGTAAGTGTTAAATTTAGTTTTTTAGAAGCGATAATTTATCACAGGCTCGATTACTTAACTGTTTAGGAATCATTTGTTGTGTAATTCAATTGTTGTTATTCAGAACTCATGAATTTTTCTCATTGCTTTAAGTGAGTATTGTTACATCATAATGTATTGTAGTTGTAGAAAGTTCTAGGCCTCAGTTGAGCAATACACAAACACACACACACACACACATATATAGGCAACCAGGTTAGTACAAAGTTAAGTTTATGAAGGTAAAATAAGTTAAACTGTTTGTCAGTTTAGCCCTAATGGGCAATTTCTAAAATGAGTTTCACAGTTTGTATTGTTGTAATAACAGTGATAGAGGAGAATAACATCTTGTCAAAGGGTGTTCTAAAATAATTGAACCACCTGTGTGCTGTGTGGACTTTGACAAAAAAGAAAAAAGAAAAACGAAAGAGAATTATTTAAAGCTCTGATTGTTTGTAATTAACCATGGGCTGTCTGTGCTCTGCCCACCATGGGTATCAAAACCCAGATTCTAGCGTTGTAAGTCTGCAGACTGTGCCACGTGGGGGGGGGGGGGGGGGCTTAAAGCTCCAAATACAACTGTGATAACCAATAGTGTAACGAATTTTTGTACATACGTTTGACTTGTTTTGAATACATTATTTTAAAGCAAGTGGATTGTGTGCTGTCCATTTATTGTTGAAACTTATTGCCAACAAGTCACAGACACCTACTGTACAGAATCCAGCCCTATAAAACCTGACAATTAGCTACACTCAATACCAGGTTGATTTTTAGTTTTCTCTAAGTAAGTAACTTGCTCTTATCAGAAGATAATAGCAATATATAATTGACCTTTTTAATTGCTTGATTAAGTGTCTTTAAAGTAAAACTTGCAAGAGTGACAAAGGTATTGTTCATTTGACGCATTATGTGATATCTTTTGAAATGATCAACTGCAGTTTCAGCAACTTTGGGAAGTTAGTGTTCGTTACATAGGTAAGCATCAAAGTACTGGAGAATTTGGGTCATTGACAACATTATTAAATGTTCAATCTCTTCAACAGGCTTGCATTGCAGTCATTATAATAAATCCTTCATTTGGTAATATTTCAGTCAAATCCCACCAAATTATGTGGCCTCTATAATAATAATAATAATAATAATGAACCAAGTTGTTTAAAATTCTTATGTTTTACAACATTATCAAAATTTACACATCTTTGGTCATGGCAAATTTCTGACCATTTGGCAATGTAAAGCCATAAATGCTTTTGTTCTTCTTAAATGTTGTCCTGGAACTTAACATTAAGATATAGTGAAAGGGCTGTGGGACGTTCATCAAGATACGAGGTTTAAGATTGATCTCACTATATTTCACAGAAGTTTGTTACAATAGTTTATTTTTTGATATTCATTCAAAGCTGTTCAAGGGCTATCTGTGTTAGCAGTCTCTAATCTTAAACTGATAGATTAAAGGAAAGGTCAGAGCACCCACCACTGACTCTTGTCTGACTAAATAGTGGGATTTAACTGCTATCCTTATAACACACCCAAAGTGTGAAGTGAAATTTTATTTCTTGGTGATGAGACATGAATGATGGACCCATAGTCCAGCATGTTAACCACTGGACCATGCTCAGCATGTTACTACAGAAATTGTGGTTTCACGCAGTAGAGCATAATCACAGACATCAGATTGAACATGTTTCGGGTATGACTATGTTAAACTCACAAAAGCTCAAAAGTTTTGATTTTCTAAAGATCTACGACTTGAGAAACACATTCTTTCTAATGGAAAAATGGTTAATAAAAAATAAGCATTTAAATTCGACTTATCATTTTTTTTTCAAAATAAATAAATTCAAAAATAGATATAATGATTTTTATTTTTCTGATAGCTAAAATATAATAAATGTCAATAAAGAGTTTCTATTAGAAATTATTAATTTTGATTAATGCTACATTTTATATTAAAACCAAACATAGTTAACTATACTTACACTACGGCAACACAAACAAATGAGATCAACTTAACTGCTACACACATTAGATATTCTGAAGAAGTTTTCAGAGAAAAATTAATTGTTGGAAGAAGTAGCTGTTAAAGAGATATAGTAAAGTAAGTGTTCACATTAATATTTTAGATATACAGCTAGAAAATGACCAAAACAAGTGAAATAAAATAAGAAAAAGGCATTACAATAGGCTAGAAATATGTATGTATCACTATCAATTAAAATAAGATGTTGAAAAAAAAAAGTAGAATTAATCCAATGATTTTGAGGATTTCATACAAGAATCTTGAAAGAAAAAATCTCCAGCAATTTCTTTTTGTCCAAAAAAAGTCACTAACAAATCAGATAATGTAAAAATAAAGTACAAGAAAGGTCAGTAAATCACCCAGTTTTTTACTTATATATATAGTTTAAAAGATTATAATTTATGAATTTTTAGTTTTCCTTTTTGAGTTTATACTAGAAATGATGGAACATTAAGTATTTGACACCTGGAAAGATAAGACAGTAAAAAAAGAAAATACAAGACTCTAATAAACATAAGGTAAAAACCAAACTATTATATTCACATACCTGAAGGGCTTAAATGATAACCTGGTTCTACATTTCCAGTTCATAATCTAGATATAAGAGTTGATGGTATTTAAATAGTTCTACAACTTTTTTATTTTGCTTCAATACTTTTATGCAGTCTATAATTTCTAGAGATCATATAACGCAAAAAAAAAAAATGGTTTCTAATAAATTGACAGAGAAAAAAAAACAACCCAAAATTATTGTAGATAAATCTGAATAACAGGTCCAAAAAAGCTGGTTCAATAATTTTACCAGTAATCAGATATACAACTTCAATTATGATGCTTTTTTTTAAATAATTTTTTATCATAGTACTTTCACAGATTTCAAGAACTCCTATGCAAAGAGCATTACTTTTTTTGGCTCTGCCACCAGTATATATATCTTATGACAGTAGCACATTATAAACAATACAATTTAAAGAAATTTGCACAAAGACATCTATTATAGGAATCAGCTTAAGAATTTTAGCTCTTAAATTATCTATACATACAGTACAGTTATAATTCATTCGTTATTAACAGCACTACATGCTCCAGCAACCAACAGATCTCTATAGCATGGGCCCCTTTCAGGATTTATTCTTCTGGATTTGGTTTCATTTGTCTAGGGAAAATAAAATTCCTAAGCTAGGTTTATACATTACCAAGAGTTATTAAAATAATATACATACAAGAGTGAAAACACTCCTTTGCCATAACACATGAATTATTCTCTTATATATTCTATTACCGTATTGGCCCGATTACAAAGCGATGTTTTTTGATTAATAATTAGGGTGTAAAATTCATAATCAACTTATAATTGTGGCCGACCACAGGCCCCTTCCTCCTACTCTAGACTGCCACATTCCTGATTGTCCAGATAGCATCCATCTATACACGTGTGCCAGATGTTTGCTCAAGGTTGTTGCTAATTCTTACAACTAATTCACCTGCAGGCTGTTCAGTTATAGTACTGATTTTGTAGACCTAAAAAAGGATGTTATGACGCTCAATTTTCTTTTCTTTCCAATGGTTTCTGAAAATGGGGGTCACTTTATATTCAAGATCGCTCTATAATCGGGCCAATACGGTATTTCCAAAACAACTAGACTTTTTCTTTCTGTCTGTTTCTAAACATAAAAGTTGGTCCTTTGCAAGCAAGTCCTTTCTTTTTCCATGTTTGTTCACTGGATAATAACAAGTGAAAATATCTACAGTTTCTACTGCATTAAACAAAATTACCTTCCGAGTTTAAAGAGCAAGTTATATCATTAAAAGAAACTCAGTTAAAATATGATGATACATCAAATGTTATATATAAACAATAAGAAAATCAAATTTGACCTTTATTGTTAATGCCATTTGTTGGGGAGAATTGTACAAAGTTTTTAGTAACGGTGTTATGCTTTTCAAAAGCAGGGAGTTGGTGATAGTGCATAGAAAAAAAAAGTAATGTTTTGTATGTAAGTTATGTTCTACTCTTTCTTTAACGTTAGTTTTATTAACAGTATTTATTAAATTCCTAATATATATAAATCTAATGAGATATTATTGGGATTCTGGACAAAATATTGATAATAGCAGTTCACCCAAATGCATTCTAATCATTAAGTTTTTGTTTTAAGAACTGAATAGTAAATTATTTCCAAGGTCTGATCTAAGTAGGTAGTTTACTTTAATCAAAATTTATCACTAATTTCAACAAGTTAGTCATCAAGTATTACTACAAATATCACTTTGAAAAATATAATAATAAGAATTATTGGTATATTTAAAAACAACGAGTTAGCAGTGGGTGTTAGGGGACACTTCCTATCATTTTATGAATTGTATAATTGTTTTTGTAACTATTACACCTACATGTTTGACTTAAAAAATGTGTAGACAGAACTAAAGATAGGTTAAAAATGGATAGTTAAAAACCATGGCAAGATATTTTGGAAGTGACTAATTCATATATTAAAAACAAAAACATTAACCACTGAAATGCCTATTTCTTGGTTTTTATATTAGCTACATTTAGTCACTTGGGACTTTCTTGTATTTTCATATTTACAGACTCTTACAAAAATTTACAACCTTAGGTAACCCAACAATGGAGAGAAACTTATAACTAATCAAATATTTACTGAATCAGTATCAAAAACTGATAAAATATACTCAATACCTAATAATATTTGAATAACTCTCCTTCTGACATGCATGCATGTGAAACAGCTGTTAGTTTGTACTTACATTTTCTTGCACTGCTTGTTTTTTGAAACAGGCTGCTCTGTTCTTTTCCCATACAATCTTGGTTTCCTTTTCAAGTGAAGTCGACTATTTTCTTTAGCTAGTACTTTATGGTCGGGCAATTCCCTGGATACAAAAAAGCGTATTGATGATCAACTGACATTTTCAATGAAATGTGACTTTGTTATAGTTTCTCATTATCGTCTCAATCTTATAAATCAAGGTATTAACAGATCTTTGGTTAACACTTGGAGAACACTGATTAGAAATATATAATATCCAACATCAGAGAAAATAGCACTGGAGGAACAGGATAGTTGCCTTGATAAAAAACAAACTACTGTAGATGTATAAAATGATACATATTTGTTTTCTGGACAGATTAGGTAATGAATAAAAATCTTCAAGTTTATAATGTATAGGAAACTTCTTACTGTTTAAATAAATTGAACTAGCATTTGTACTATAAGTAAGTCTCCACAATATGGTGAGAAACACTTCACGTTCTGAATAAAGAACATTCTCTGAATAGAAGAATGAAAAAAAAGAGGACAATATGGTAGTGATCTGTTTGTCTTGAAATACTTCTTAATGAGGAAATCAATGAGAACTGCTCGATAATATTGGTTGTATCAGGAATAAGGTATACTTAATTGGGTATGAATTCAATACCTGGTAGGAAACTGGAGGGAATGTGGTTAAAATCGAGGCTTAGCCACCCAACTAGAAAAATAGATTTGCATTTGTTACATGGCAACAACCTAGGGAACTTTCTTATAGTACCATAACGATTTGATGAAACTTGAGAACTTCTCGTCAAAATGAGTTTTTAAATTGTTCTTTTCACTGTAACAAGATGTAACATCACCATCAAGTGTTCCTTGATTAAGGTAGCATAGGAACTGGAGTTTTTAATCTAAATTGCACCATATGTGCACATGGTCAAATCAACTAGGACGCCTATAATTCGGGACATAGCTATCCCCAATTTTAAACTACTGATCAGAGGAACACAGCAAGGTCAGCAACATTCACCACCTCAAGGGCTTTCTTTGGCTCTTGGAACTATATAATGGGATTTACTGTCACTTTTATAACACATCTAACCAGAATGCCACATTTAGCCTGACCAAAGTGGGACTTTCCAACAAAGTTTGATAGAATTTTTCTATGTTCCGCAGTACAAGTTTATTAAACAAATTTGTAAAATGACAAATAAAAAGCTTAGAATCATGATAATTTAAACAAATATAAGGTCATATTCCAGATTCTCTTTTTTATAAAATTTATCCATGAAAGATCTTACCTTCTGTTGGAAAGAATAGAGAAAGAATACAATGTCAAATTTTCTTTTTAAAGAGTCATACAAGACAAAACCAATCGACTGCTTTGGTGTACAGAGCCCTGAACTATAAGTATTTAAAATAGTCATTTAGCAGTTTGATAACATATTATGTCATATACGAGAAACTGAGAGCACAAGTTTGAAAGCCTAAATGTACAGAAAGGTCTTTATACGTTTAGTTCTTGACCAGTTATGGGAAGATAGTTCAGACCACTCAAAACGTATTGAAAAAAATACAATAATTTACTGTTCAAGGACAACCATTTGCAGGATACATCCTGTTTTTCTTGTGGAAATACTGAGTATCAACTTACCATAAGCTTGTATGTATATTCAAAGTTCTGAAAAGAAGCTGACAAAGAATTTTTCTTTTTATTCCCATTCCATAAACTTACTCGATAGCCAGTTTCAGAGCACTGATCCAATTTTCACTTTCTCCTGGCTGTTTAGAGTACAGCATTAATGTCTGTTCTTTTGCAGAAACCTAAATTTGTAAATTTAAAGATAATTAAAAACTTTTTAATGCTAATTTTATTTGTAGTCAGGACAACTAGTAACTGACAAATTCTTTACTCTTTACCTCTAAAAGTGTTAAGAAAGCTACACCAGTATTTAGAAAAATTGATGCTTTTGTACACACACTGCCAAAAGTAGTCATTTTGTTTGATCTCCTTACGTACTTCGTATTAATTGGAAAACTAACAAAGATTAGTTCTGCACTTATGAAAGAAACAAAAACTGTACATATAATTTCATAAATGGCTTAAGATGTACTGGAATATGAAAGCAAGTCTCTTGAAGTAATTTTTTTATTGTAGTTTCATAACATATAATATCTAATACAATATTTCAGAAACATTTCATTCATACTATTGTAATCAAATAATATTATGAAGTTTCACCTTTGACAAAAAAATTTCTCTCAGAAATTATGTATTAAACACTTACTTTTTAAGTTTCTCTGTGTTCTTGCTATTAATGATTAGTTAAAGCAGCTAAATTTAGTCATTACAATTTTATTAAAAATTTTCCAATTGTCCATTTCATTGAGATACAAATCAATTGAGTCTTCATACAACTCTTTCTATTAATGATATTGTATCCAAGTGAAAGGAATGATGAAAGTGCACATCTAGTCTTGAATTAAATCTGCAAGATATTATAAACGTAAGAAGCACTAATAATTATTTTTTAATTGTGACTTGTGCCACAAGTCAGTGATGCTTAAATTTATATTTCTAGAAGCTTATGAATTCTTGTAATACATATATTAAGGTAAAGTTTTACTACTTAAAACTCATCTAGTTGTCTTTCCCATTAATTTGATATTTATAAGCTGCATAAATGAAGAAACAAAATGTGATCATGTCAAGCATGCTACTATGTAATAAATTGAGAAATGTTTACCAATACTACAGTGGTTCGTTTGTTATTTTAATTAATCATAATTTGTATTATTGTTCCTTTTTATACAAAAACTGTACATTGTTCATCGATGGTTTACAGCATTTTCCCCAAAAACAAACTGAACAAAGTTATTGCAAGTTTTTGGCCAATAAATATTTTTCTTAAAAAAACTCATGTTCAGCAAACAAAATTATTATTTTTTGAATTTCTAACAATTTTGGCTGTAAGTAATAAAAAATAAACATATCAAAAAATTTAAGGACAACAAAGGATCTATTTGTTTATCTACATTACCCCCCTTCCACTAAACAAAACTTAAAAAGTTTAAAGGTAACACTTATCATTCAAACATTTATCAAGTCTTTCCTTAAATTTACTGCATCCATCACATCTGAAGGCAACCCATTCCAAAGGCCAACTACCTTGTTTGAAAAATAAGTCTTAGCTGAAGATGATTCCTACTTAGTCAAAATATACACATCCCTAGTTTTACCATTCTCACCATTAAGTATGAAAAAAACATCATGGATCAACACCTATCAATTCCTTTAACAACCTTAAAACACCTCAATCAGATCCCCTCCAAACTCTCTTTTTCTAGAGAGAAAAATTTCAGACATCTTAACTTGTCTTTCTATCACAACCTTTCCATCTGATTTATCATAGTGCCCTTCTTCTGAACTTTATTCAACACTCCAATGTCCTCCTAAAATAAGGAAACCAAAACTGAACACTATACTCTAAATGTGGCCTATTAGTAATCTACACAATGAAATTATAAAACCTCTTTAGATTTGTATTTAATATTTTGGTATTTACAGCCTAAATATCCTATTTGCCCTATTACAAGTAATAGAACATTGTTTGGATGGCTTAAGAAACTGATTAACTACAATACCAAGATCATTTTCTACTATAACACTATTCGAGTTATTCCCGTCAAAGTTACGGTAATCCACATGCATAGCCTTACATTTATTATAATTAAAAGCCATCTACCATGTATTCACCCAAAGATCTAAATCCTTTTGTAAAGCAGCATTCTCCTCCTCATAGCCACCAACACCCAAAACCTTAAAATCAAAAGTAAATTTCAATAATTTATTGATCATTCCTTCATCTCTGTAAATCAAAAAGAGCAGAGGCCCTAAGACTGAGCCCTGGAATAACATTAACCAAGTGTGACTAAGTTCCAAATAATAACAACCCTCTGCTTTCTACTACCCAATGAAAAAACTGGTTAATGAATATTTTGTTAATGTTAGTTAATAATATTTAATATTTTCTACTTGTAATCCACCAGTGTTGAATAAGTACAAAATGCTTCGTCTACACTGAACTGTCTTTCAGTAATTCTGTTTGTACAATTTAACTAAACTATATGATGTTTCTTACTTCTTCACATCCCTATAAATAAATTTAAACAAGATGGAAAAGACACACACAAAAAAAAACTATAATTACTCAACCTATACATAGAAAAAAATGTGCAAATATATTTTGCAATGAAAAATTTGCTATAAAAACACATTTCACAACTTTTTGTCATTTACTTTTATTTTATATATAAGTTAGTGTTCGAATACTCCTGTTCCAGTTTTAAGACAAAAGCATTAAATCATATAAGCTTTCAAGATATCAGATTTTACTACAATAAAACATAAAGAAAAAAAAAGAGCAAAATAAACTTTTATACTAACAAAAAATGGAATGATTCAAAAATCTTTTTCATTATTGCTTTTTGGTGAAGAACATTTTCAACATTCATAAAAAGACAATCTACATATAAACCTAAAGCATACTTTTCAATTTAATATACACCCAAAGAAAATATTTCTAAACTTCCTAATATTACAGAACTGACATGTACTATTTGATTAAACAAATTTTCACTCACTTAAATCCCATTTATTTTGAACAAACTTAAAACTATTTAAAGAACATTTTAGCATGTTACTTTGTATGAATTGACTAAACCATTTAAATTGGCTGTTCACCTTCAACTCTGATAACCTGAGCTAATGAAAGTAATTTTAAACAGTTAGTGTACTAAAAACAAATTTTCTCACCCTGAAAAGAGTGGCATCTTTTCCTCCAGCACCAAACAATACTTCAACAACGCCTTGCTGAAGAGGGAGAATTCCACAACATTGCAGGGAAGGAGGCTTATTTGACAAATGAGATTTTTGAACTCGCTTACAGTACATTAGCATATCACTAAACAGAAAGAATTGTCGTTCATGTGAACTATCTCCTTTTTGAGTTACCTAAAATAAGAAAAACACAAGTTCAATTCAAAGATTATCAGCATTACAATGGAGCTTAAGGACTATATTTACTTAATAGGTGGAGATAGCTTAAGCCGGATTTACTTTTCACAATAGCTAACAGCTGATTAAGCAAACTTTTCCACGATATTGCTGTTGTTCTTCATAGTTCTTCAAAATGATTGTAAAACAATTTTTGGATCCAATTAATAAACAATCTTTGCTTCAGTGTTGAAACATTCTGTACAATCATACAAGCAAGATTCACATAGATTGAAATGTAAACAGTATAGTAAAAAACATTAATATACTAGCTCTGATTTATGCTGCTAGAAGTATACAGAAAAAATTTTTTTGTCATTAACAGACAATGTTTTGTTATGTGAAACTGTATGCTGCTGTCTTTAACATTGAATATACTTACATGTTATCTCACATTATTTTAAAATATCAGTTGTTGCCCCCATCAAAAGGCATTGAAAATGTCAACTTGACACGTAGTGCATATTTTCAACAACTTTTACAAAAGCCATATAGGTTTTCTGTTCTTCTTTTATTAAAGCAGACTGATGAGGATGTAATTTAAATATATATAGCTAAGCCTGAAACTGATCTCCGTATCAGCCGTTGATACCAATCCGATCTAAAGAATTTTCCAATGTTTTACCGATCCAATTTTTAAGAAGATTCGATTGGTAAGTTTGTTTATCTATTAAAATATACAATACATTTAGGCCCCTTTGCAATAGAGAGAGTGCAATGTATCCCAAAATGATGATTTGTTTAAATATTTACAGAAAAATAAATGTAAGATGAGTTCTTCATCTAATATATACTTGTTTTATATGCTGATGTTATTTTTGTAGTCTGATAAGTGCATGATTTATTTGAAGATGAGATTTTAAGCTTGATGCATGTCACTAGTATATATACATCAGCGAGGTATGGACATGCAGAGCACAGAAATACAGGTTATCAAAATCTGATCTTGGGCACATCTGAACTGATCCAATCTACTGATCTGATATTTCACTCATATCACAGCGTTATATATAGCATTATATCTATATTTTAAATAAATTAATGTTTGTTTTGTCAAAATCTAATATTAAAACAAATAAGCAATTCAATTAGCAAACAATAACTAAAAAAAGTAGTTTAATTTTTATAGAAGAAAAACCTGACTTTGAATTTTAAAGTGTTTTTAGTAAAAACTTGATCTATTAAAAACATCAGCATTATATAAACTGTTTGTTTGCTACTAAGCACAATGTCACATAATGGACTATGCCCACCATGAGTACCAAAGTCTGTTTTTCAGCATTATGCCTGCAGACTTACTTCTGAGCTACCAGGGTTCATATTAAAATCTGATTCTAATAGTTTGTGTCTGAGAATTGGAACCTCGCGGGTAGTTCTGATCAAGCAAGTTAGGGAATGGTATTAAAGAGAAACAACATTTAATTCTTACTGTACAAAATTATTTGGGTATGACCACAGTAAAATAATGATTAAATTGTTAATTATTGAGAATTTCTGATCATGAGTAAACTGAACTGCATAGATCAGAACTAAAATTATTTCCAAAATAACTTGGAGTTTAATGAAGAAATGTTTGTAGAACAAATTCACTATAGATACTCAGTCATAAATCATTACACAATATAAACTAAGACCTATTAGAATTAGAAGGCATTGAATCATCAGTTAGTAGCCTTTCTGTGAACAATATTTTCAGATTCAGCTTAATATCTCACAAGGTTAAGACAGATTAACCCTTTCGAGATGGGTCACATGTGAAAGGACATGTCATCTCATTTGTTGACTCGCATTCAAAATTACATTGAAATACTATTTCATGAACTTATGTCAATAAGTTTGGTATCAAACTGTAGATTATAATTCAAATCTTAGTACTATATACATTACTCAGTTTCTTAATTTAAAAGCAAATATTAAAAAGCACCGATAAACATCAATTTTTGTATATGTTGAATGCAGCACTGGTTCAAATTAGATGTTTGTGAAGTCAAAATACTAAGTCTATAGTTTCATACAAATTAGAAATTCAAATTATCGATATTGACAAGCTATAATATAAAATAAAAAGGTCTTATATTTTCTATTTGCTAAGATATTGCTCACATAATAAATCAAACACAGTGGCACCCTGCTCATCTCTTTCCATTTTTGGAAATGCTCCCTTATATACACTTACTTCTATATACAACATGAATAACCAATCAAACACTCAGAATTGTTCCCCTAGAGACTTTCTCAGCCATTTTAACGGGCTTGGCACCATTTCTTTCTTTTGAACCAATGTTTCAACGAGGTAGGGTGCATCTTTAGTCTGCTCAAAATTTCATATTTTTTTTTAGACTAACATACATTTTAGTTACTAAGCTTGATAAATAATAAATGGTTATGAGGTCTGTCCCAGGGACCCGAGCCCATGCTGAAAGAGTTAAGAGATTTAGTTAAACCTAAACTAAGTCTTTAGCAATTAAGCAGAACTTTACTTTTTTTCCCAGTTGAGCAATCTTAAATCATAATATTTTGACAGGCAAGCTTACATGTATAATGTTCAGAATGTTTTACTCACTGAAGTAATTGAGCTTATTAATTTTTGGAATTTTTTTTCTTCAGTTTTATTATCTGAAAATACAGGTTTTCAAAAGAGGTAATTTCATGATAAGAAAAATTAGTTATGCCAAACTTATGCTAATAATGTTTTATGATAATACCTTAAGGAAAAAACAGACACTCTCGAATTCTATAGAGGTTTTGCACATGATGTCTTTCTGCTCTATTCAACCCTGCCATATTGGATGTCAACATTTCCTTCTACCAATATCAGTTCAAGTTTTGGTAAAGCTTTACATGCTGTCAAAAAACATTATAACATTATGAGTTGTGAAAAATACCTGATTTCATCTAGCTCTTTTTTGTTTTTATATAACAGTTGCCTTATCAGAAATAAGCAGAATAAGTGGAGAAGTGACTCAATTTCTTGGAGTGCAGGAAAACATCCAAAAGATGCTACAGCTACAGAAGCGTTTAGTGGACAAGCAGCCACGTTTAATTCACCCCAACAGGAGATTCATAAAAGAAGGTTCACTGATGAAGGTTTGTTCATGTTATCTTTGTTGTTGTTTTGAAATAGTAAAAAATTAAGTTCATAGGATTACATTTCAGGTGCTACTTCAAATAAGAGAAACATTTATCTGTGTAAAAAGTCTAGCAATGTAACATATAGAGGTGTTGTACTGATGTCCAAAAGGCACATGGTCTACAGTTCTCTAGCATATTGGACATCAAGTGCTTACATCCATTTTATGTCAAAAATTTCAATTTTTTTCTTTTATATTGTGTTATCTGATGCTGGAAATCATCTCAATAAGGTGTGTAAAGAAAGAACTATCGGGAAAATAAATGGACATACAGACTTGGATCCGTATGTTTTGCCAAAGGTGATGTTTACACCAAATATATAAATACTTGTGTGAAACTATTAAACTCTGGAAGTTCGAAGGGGAATATCCTTACTTCGTGGTGGCACAAGATTCAAACATCATGTGGTTAGAATCATGCTTTTCAAGGTTAACAAAAGATATTATGTAGTACTTCCAAATATGTATATGGAGAGAAGGAATAATGAGGTTTTGGTTACAAACTTTAAATAAGCAAACTGTGAAAGGATGCAACAAGATTTAGATGTTGTTGACTGGGCAACTGAATCAGAGATACAAATAAAATGTAGGAAAAAAAATTGAAATTTTTAAATATTCAAGATAGATATGTTTCTTATAAAAAAAAATGGTGGCTGCAAGTAAATTAAAACATTAGGTTGGTTCACAAAAGGTATGAGATAAAGTTAAATAAAAGCATTGTATTTTTAAGAAGTTTAAATTTACTGCTTTGATAGAAGACTTAAAGGATTATAGAAGATCATGAGAGTTGGTCAAACAGGAAATTAGGAAATCAAGAGGTTTATAAAAAAAAGGCTTGGCTGAAAATGTAAAAATAAACAGTATGGATTTTTTACTGTTAAGATTGGAGTAGGGATTTTGAGGGATGATAAAGGAAGGCCCATATCTTATGACATGGCTGAACTATTAAATTTTAACTTCTTCAATTTTTACTAATGAAAATTTAAACAATATTCCATTCCTTGTTTTGAGCAGCTGTTAGATGGAAACAAAATGAGCACATTAATTCTGAATTTAAGAAGAAACTGGAAAGTGTAAAGATAATAAGGATATTGGGCTTGATAATATTTCCACAAGATTTTGAAGGAGGTTAAAGAATGTATTTGTGAGACACTTGCTATTACTTTTTTGTAAATCCTTGAATAGTGGACAGGTGCCAGAGGACTGGAAGTTAGTTAGTGTTACTCTTCTTTTCAAGGGAGGTGATAAAAATTGTCCCAGTAATTATAGGCCTGTTAGTGATACATTAGTGGTGGGAAAAGTTTTTGAAAGTCTGATGAAAGATGACTTACAAAGCTATTTAAGAAAGTTTAAAAATTTGTTGGATAGTCAGCATGGTTTCACTGGGGGAAAATCTTGCCTTATTAACCTTTTGTATGATGAGGGTATAAAAATGGATTTGGTGTATCTGGATTTTCAGAAAGCATCTGACAAGGTACTACATAAAAGGCTTGCTTGTTAAAATTATCTCTATAGGTGTTTGGGATAAGTTAGCTTATTGGATAGAAAAACTAGATGGAAGGAAGCAGGGGGTTGTTGAAACTGGATTAATGTCACACATGGGGTACCTCAGCGTTAGAACCTTGGATCTTTTTAATTAACATCAGTGACATAGGTGAAGGAATGATGAATAAACTACTTATATTTCTTAATGATATTAAGGTTTTGGTTGTTTTTGGCTGTGAGGATGCTGCTTTACAAAGTGATCTGAATTATTTGGTGGGTTGGGAGAATAAATGGCTTTTAATTATAATAAATGCAAAACAATCCATGTTTGAATTATGAGTATAATTTTGATGGGAATAACTTTAACAGTGTTATGGAAGAAAAAGTACTTGCTATTCTGGTTGATCAGACTCTTTAAGTCATCCAAGCAATGTGTTGTTGCTAGTTGCAAGGTAAGTAGAATTTTAGCCTGTAATAAAAGGCTAAAGAGGTTATAATATCATAGGTTAGACTACATTTGAAATACTGTATTCAGTTTTAGGCTCCTAGAATGGAAATGTGGTCATACAAGGATAGGTTAAGATCTCTTGAATTGTTTTCTCTTGAAAAAACAAGAGTTAGAAGGTATCTGATTGAGGTGTTTAAAA